ACAAGAAAACAGAGAGAATTTGACACTATTAAAGAAATGGTTTGGAGACTTCCATTCAAACTTCAGCAGGTGTCGAAGAGATTAACAATTACCACTACATCAGCATAGATTCCAGGAAACGATAAGCAGCCTTCATTGTAAGAAAAAGTATTTTTAGAGGACTTCTGCACTACAGGGTTTACAAGCACAATCTCTTCTCCTTCACCACGTTCACCAACAGGATTAAAAACCATAAGCTGAATGTTCATCCCAACTTGGGGTGCCGACAACCCAATGCCATCAGTTCTGTCTCAAAACCTCTAAATTTCAAGCTACAACCACTTTGCAAGGAATTAAGCAGTTAGGTTATATCCGGAAGAAAAAAACACTCACTTGTACATTACATCAAACATCTCGTCGGCTAACTTCTTCAAACTCTCGTCAAAGGTACCGATCCTCTTGTTCTTAGCCCTCAACCTGGGATCCGGATATTCAACAATCTTGAGCGGCGCATCATGATACGAATCAGCAGCTGGTAAACAGAACAAAAAAATGAACTTGGCGGGTCACCCAAATCAGCATCTTATCCCTCGACTGATTCGCTGTGGAACGAGGGGGGAAACTATAGAGAGAGTGAACTAGGTTTCATTTGGCTTACGGGAGGCCAAGTTGTCTTCCTGGAAGGAGAAGCCGCGCCGGGCCTGACCGGCGGGAGCCATGGCTGTTTGCCGGCCGGGGAGGGAATGGATCGGAGGTATAGGTTCGAGAATGAGCCAGAAAGCAGGGTGGAGCAGGAGTAAAGAGCCGGCGAAGCTTGTATTCTGGCCGCCATTTTTCTTCCCTGGTCTCCCTTCAAGCAATTTCTGAATTTTACGCCGGCTGCAACAAAATTTGTTACATACTCCCACCAAAATTTGTTATTTACAAATCCACCAACCTACCTGTAAATAGGATTGGTTCGATTGTTCAAAAGAACAACCAGAGGGGTTATTTTATAAATATCAATGTTGTGGGAGGTCTGCATGTAAGTATCACAATTTTTTAATAACAAATTAAAATCACTTAATATAACATAATATTATAATTAAGCATAATTAATCAATAAATTATCAGTAATTTCTTATTAACTAATTTAGTTATTTGTTAATATAATCAATCATCAATCATGATTTCTAATTAACTAAAATTGATACTACAATGCTCATTAGATAATTTTAGTTTGTTATTAACAAAACTAATTAATCATTCATTAATGTACTGACTAAAAATAAACCATCATTGATTAAGAATTTATAATTCTAATTAAATATATGAAAAATATTAATAAATTTAGGGTTTGAGGTTTAGGCAAAAAACATTTGCTAAGATTTAGCTAATTTAGCATTTAATTCAAAAAATCCTAGCATATATTTCTATTTAGGCAATCCTAATCATTATTAAATTAACATTTAATCAATCTATTATTATTATTATTATTATTATTATTATT